GTCAGAGGCAGCCCCTGCTTCCCTTACTAGGGAACACGCATGAAGCCTGATGTCCATCAGCTACACTGTGTAAGTAGCCTAGCCTAGGTCCAGTCTACGCATGGTCTTTGGTTAGTGCTTCAGCCTCCTCAAGCCCCCTGGGCCCTGATTAGTTGGCTCTGTTGGTCTTCTTGTAGAGCGCCTGGCTCCTCCAGGTCCTTCCATCCTTCCTCCCACTTTTCCACAAGACTCCCTACACTTCACTCAATGTTTGACTGTGAGTCTGAGCATCTGTTTCAATCCCCTGCTGGGTAGAGCCTTTCAGAGGACAGCCGTGCTCGGCTCCTGTGTATGAGCATAGCAGAATATCATTAACAGAGTCAGAGGATGCTGATGTCATCTTCCTGCCTTTGTGGGAACCAGGCATACATGTGGTACACATACAAACATGCAGGCAAAACATTCACACACATAAAATAAATAAATCTTTTCAACATATAAAAATCATTGCTATACACTTAATTATGTAACCCCTTAGTTCTGTGGCATCCTATAGAGCTTTCTAATTCATAGCCTAAAAAAACGAAAGTCCTTCCAATGATGGCCAGGCTGCTGCTGCACAGTCAGAGCTCCCTGCACATCTCCAGTAGGTCCTGCTGTTTTCCCCTGCTGAGCCTGACTCCCATCTTTCTAGCTGTTTTCCACTCCCAGTTTTTTCTGCCAAGAATGGTCTCTCTTAGTTGCCCATAGACCTCCCTCCATACATTATTATTAGCATATAATCATAGTTCAAAGTCATGGGTCTTATAATGACAAGTATATCATGTACGCTGACCATATTCACTCCCATTACCCTCCCCTGTCCTGCCTCCTCTAATTACCTTCATTTCCCAAATGGCCCAAATTCTATTTTTATGTCATATATATGAACACAGATAAATGCAGGTTTGGGTATGAAGGGCTATACATTTAATATAAATTCCAAATATAATAGAAAATATATTTAGTTTTCCATGTTTTGCTTATTCCGCTTAGCACAACAATTTCCAGTTTCATTCATTTTCCTGCAAATGACATAATTTCTTTCTTCCTTATAGATGACTAAAACCTCATTATGCGTACACCATATTTTCTTTATTCATTCATCTTTTGATGAGAACTATCCTTGGTGGCTTAAATTGTCAATCTGACACAGCCTAGATTCATCTGAGAGGAGAGACTCAATTGAGAAATTGCCTAGATCTTACTGACCTGTGGATATAGCTGTCTTAGTCAGTGATCTATTGCTGTGAAGAGACACCATGACCATAGCAACTCTTATAATGGAAAGCTTACAGTTTCAGAGGGTTAGTACATTATTAGCATGGCAGGAAGCACGGTGGGAAATGTAGCAGCCATGAAAACAGACACGAACCTAGAAGAGAATTCTACATTTGGATCCTAGGGAAGAGAGAAACCCTGGGCCTGGCTTGATCATTTGAAAACCCCAAAGCCTACCCCCGAGTGACACACTTCCTCCAGCGAGGCCACACCTCCTAATCCTGTCAAGTAATGCCACTCTCTAATGGCCAAGTATTCAAATATATGAGCCAATGGGGACCATTCTTATTCAAACCACCACAGTATCTGTGGGGCCACTGTCTTGACTGTTAATTGATATGAGTGGCCGGCCCACTGCGGGCAGTACCATTTCCTGAGCAGATGGGTTGTATAAGAAATCTAGCCGAGCCTAAGGCCACACACAAGCATTCCTCTGTGATTTCTGCTGTACGTCCTTGGCTGAGAATGAGTTCCTTGGTCAGCGTTAATGCTTTGTGGAATATCAAGCATGACTGCCTTCTAGTTCTGGTTTGAGTTTCTGCTCTGACTTCCCTGGACTATGATCAGGAAGTATAGACCAAATAAATACTTTCCTTCGATACATTGATTTTAATCAGAGTATTTTATCACAGCAGCAGAAAGGAAACTGGAACAAAAATCAAGGCTCACCTGATAACTTAGTATTGTGGGTAGTTCTACAATAAACATAGATGAAGCACAGTTTTGTTTTGTTTTTGAGAAGTTCAGCAAACCCCATGGGTGACAACCTCTTTGAATTTTTAAAGCATGACAAATGAATCCTCCTTCTACCCCAGTAACTGGCCAGGATGGGGCAGGTGAGGTTCTGGGGACAGCTCTGCCAACATGTCAGGGGGCACCAGGATCAGAAGAAAGGGAGATGAGTAAAGGAGGAAGAAAGGCTAGAACACAGGGAAAAGGGGGGGCCTGTTTCAGTTCTAGGGCAAGAACAATCAAGAAGCTGAGATAGGAGGCATGAGTTCTCATTGCCGAGTGAATCTCTCTGCTGACCTGCCCTGCCAACCCCAAGGCCCCACACACAGCAACATGGACCAACGTGCTGAATAAAGCTTTGAGAAAATCCAGACAGGGAGTTAAAGTTTCCTAGGACTGACACAACAAAATACCACAAACCAAGTGAATTGTGAATGAAATGCCTGTGAAAAACCCAGCTTTCACCTCAAAGGAAATACGAGTTTATTCTGGAGCCAAATATCAGTGACTGTGGCCTCATAATACAGATTCAGGTGACCCTGAATAGTTTCGTGACATTTTTAGAATTACAGAATAAAAGAAAGTCATACATCTAGGCACTTGAAAGATATGCCAGTAGACACATCAGAGCAAAGCAAGGAAACTTCTGCCTAAGTCTGCAATGCTATCTGATGACTTTCTTAGCTTCGGACTTGAAGAAGGGTACTGGTTTGTTAATATATAGTTACTACATAGTCCAAAAAGATTTATCTGATAATCACAGTACTTCAGTAAGGAAATTAAAGATAGCCCACAGGAATCTGGGTCTAGGTTTGCAATAGTTGTGCTCTCTCTCCAGCACCATCATGGAAGTTCTAATCAGTCAATTGGAACTTTTTCTTAAACTCCAGTTTACAGAAGTTTGCTACCCACTGAAGTCTGAGATCAAGATGTTTGCATATTTGGGGGTTTCTGAAAGCTGGGAAAAGAACCTGCTGTGTGCCTCTCTCCTCCTTTCTTGGTTAATAGAAGCTTTAGCCACTCCCTGCCTTTCTGTTCCTTTGCAAAGTGTCTACTCTCTGTCTGGGTCTGCTTCTGTGTCTGTAGAGACTGTAGAGACATAAGGGCCAAAAATACAAATAAAATAAAATAAAATAAAATAAAATAAAATAAAATAAAATAAA